CGCTCCTCCACACAGAGCTCCTGCAAGTTCCTGGGCGGAGCCCTGGCTGGGCACCATGGGGGCGGGTCTGGCGCCATGGGGTCAAGAAAGAGCTGCTTTTGATGCTTTGTCCCAGTGGGGAAGGGTGGGTGTGGGCCTGAGGGAGCCCCAGGAAGTGGGGTCGGAGGTCTGGGGGGGCCGCGAGTGAGATGCCGAGGGCGCCTTCCAGGCAAGGCTGTGCCTGGAGGGGACAGGGGGGCGCCGCCAGAAGTTCTAAAGGGCCAAAGGGTGAGCGGGAGCTGAGGACGGGCTGCCTGAAGGGCGCAGGCGGGTAGGAGGGCAGCGGGGGCCTGGTGGGAGGCCGTGGACTCTGTGCCCGCGAGGCCGGCTCCCCGGGGCCCCCGGGCTGCAGGGGGTGGGTGCCGAGTCCAGAGAAAAAGACTCCGCGCGCCTCTCTGCTGTACACTGGTTTATTTGGTGGTCGGGGCTTAAGGTCTCTGCTACTAAGTGGAAAAAAGCTAATAGAACGTAATCAAAATAGCGGTTTAATTGACGGACTTTACTTGTTCTTGCACCTGTGGCTTCTTCAGCTCCTACCGCCTACTTAGCCCCCGGGCCCTCCACACCACTAGGTGCTCGCCTTCCCCACCTCAGCTCCGGAGACGTGGTCCTTGGCCCTGGAGGTTTCGACCAGCCGCTCCTCCACCCGGTCCTCGGTCTCAGGGACCACAAGCAGCCGGTGCTGGGTCTTGGCCCCCAGTTTGTGCTCGGGCCGGTGTTCGGGCTGTGGGCCAGGCCGGGGGTCCAGCTTGCAGTCAGCCCGGTACTTGCCCTCGCCCTCCCGCTTGAAGGAGGCGGAGGCCATGGCCTTGGGCTTGGGGGGCTGCAGCCATGCGTGGCTGAGGATCTCGTCGATGTGCAGGCGCCGGGTGACGTCCGGCTGCAGCATCCGGTAGATGAGGTCCTTGCACTCGCCCGTCAGGTGCTTGGAGCGTGGGAAGTCCACGCGGTGCTCCTTCTGGATGCGCAGCATCTTCTTGACGTCGGAGTCGTCGTACGGCATGGAGCCGCAGACCATGATGTAGAGGATCACGCCCAGGCTCCAGATGTCGTACACCTTGGGCTGGTAGGGGATGCCCTGCAGCACCTCGGGGGCTGCGTACGCCGCCGACCCGCAGAAGGTCTTGCTCAGCGTCAGCCGGCCGCTGTCGTCCCGCAGGCAGCGCTTGGAGAAGCCGAAGTCGGACAGCTTGATGTTGAAGTCCTTGTCGAGGAGAAGGTTCTCGCACTTGAGGTCTCGGTGGACGACGTCCAGGTCGTGGCAGTACTTGACGGCCGAGGACAGCTGCCGGAACATCTTGCGTGCCACGTCCTCGTGCAGGGCCCCCCGGCACTTGATGAACTCAAGGAGGTCGCCCTGGACGCCGAGCTCCATGACGATGTAGATGCGGCCGTCAGACGTCTCAAAGATCTCGTAGGTCTTGATGATGGAGCGGTGGTTGACGGTTGCCAGGATGTCCATCTCCCGGGGCAGGAATCTCTCCACGAAATCGGTGGGCGTCTTTTTGCGGTCGATGATCTTGACTGCCACGTTGAACTTGAGGCGCTCAGAGTAGGCGGACTTGACTTTGGCATAGGAGCCCTTGCCCAGGTTGATGCCCACGATGTAACCCTTCTTCCTCAGGACTGCGGCATCGTCCATGGTGCCCGGAGCGGCCTGCGCCACTGCCCTCTACATCCCCTCCCCTCGCGGGCCAGCGGGCATCGTCCTCGTTAGCACTGTGGGGAGCCGTCTGGCCAGGCTGGGCCTGCACCTGGAGGTGTGGAACGCCCAGCATTGTCCCCGCGTGACTTCAGCCTGTGAAGTCATAAAGCCAGGCTGCCCGGAGTGGGAACTGGGAGGGGACAGGCCCTGGAGCCCTGGAAGGCTGACTGGGCTGACAGAGCCCCGCGGCCTGCCAGAAGGGAGGAAGCTGGCACCCAAGACTGTGGCGATCTCTCCGTGCCGCCCTGTGCCAAGTCAGCCTGGGCCGCCCAGGTCCAGCCAGTGTGCCGGCCCCCCGCCGCTTACCCCTCCTGGGTGTGGGGACTGACCCTTTAGCAGATCCTGTCCCTCGAGGGAGGGCCTCCTTCCCGGCACCGCCTTGAGGTGGGCCGAGCACACCCTCAGGCCGGGCCTGGGAGGGGCCACCCTGATGGGGGAGGGGGCAAGGGCGGCTCGGACTCGGTGAGTGCCCAGCCCCGTGGTGTGGAGCCCTGGTGGGCTGGTGTTCTGAGGGCAGGTAGAGTTGAAGTCCAGGCAGGGAAGGGCGTGGGGGAGGTGGACGTGAGAATGGGTGGGTCCCGGCGTCGGGGTCAGGGTGCGTGGAGGAGAGGGTCGGGGGGTGCGGGCTGCAGGAGCTGCCGGGATCCAAGCCCGGCTTTAAGACAGGCCCTGCGAGAGCACATAGCGAAGGGCGGCCAGAGCCTGTGCCCGGGCCAGGCGCTGGCCTGTGGGGAGGGCACACGATGGGTGGGGCCCGGAGCAGGGGCGGGGGCTGGGGAGAGCGTCGCAAATCAGGCCACTTGGTCCTTTGTGAGCATTGGGAGCCTGGGCAGGCACATCACCTTTGCATCTTAGACCGTCTCTGCACCTGGAAGCAGCATCAACCTGCTTTGTTCCCACCCCGGGAACCGCCGCCCCCGTAGGCTCAGGTCCTTTGCGAGCCCCATGGTCCTGTTGTCCTCAGGGCCCAGGACGGGTGCTCGGGGGAGGGTGCGTCCTGTGTCTGGGTCAGTGGGAGTGACCCAGAAGCCCCATGTGGGGGTTCAGCAGGGCTCGCCTGCTGTTGGGAGGGGAGTGTGTGCACACGCCTGGGCTGCACAGAGCTCCCGGCAGGAGGTCCATGCAGAAGGTCCCTGGGCAGGGCAGCTAGGCCCAGAGGCCAGCGGCAGGGATGTGCCTGATGCCTGCATTCTTCTGGGGGCTTCAGTAGGAACCAGCGGAACTTCAGAGGGGCCAGCCGCGAGGCCCCCAGCCAGGCGCCCTCCTGGCCTGTCTCCCTCGTCCCCAGGACTCTGTCCCAGGTGCCCTTTGCCGTGGCTCCTGCTCCTCACGCCCTGCCTCCTCACCAGGACACTGTGGCCTCTGGTTCTCCAGGGACGTCAGGCCTGCAAACTCGGGAGAGCAGCAGGGGCCCTGCCCAGAATGTGTGTGTCAGACTGCCAGGGCCCTCGGGGCAGGGTCAAGCTGGACAGGCTTCAGGGTGCTCCCGGCTGCAGGCCTGTGAGTGCCAGACCGCAAGCCCAGGGATGCTGCCCTCGGAGCTTTGAGGGTTGGCGTCAGGCCCCGGGTGACAGGAGTAGGCCCTGCCTTCCTGGGGCCCAAGGTGGCTCAGCATCACCCAGGGCATGAGTGCCCTGCAGCTGGGCCATGACAGGCACGCGCAGTGATCGGAGCTGGGACTGGACTCGGGGAGGCTGAGGGCTGAGGTCAGGCCCCGCGGAGGATGCGGACAGAGGTGCTGCTGAGGGTCTGAACGGCCAGGTGGTGAGAGCGTGCCGGTCGGGAGGTGCACGGCTGGCCCGGAGGCCGCGCTGAGGGTCCTGGGGGTCGCTGTGGGGGTTGAGCCCGGCTGGGGCAGTGGGGTGGCTCACAGGAGTGGCCGGTGCCTCAGGCCACGTCAGGAGGGCCTTGCAGCGCAGCCTGCATCCACGCTGGGTGGGTTCAGGCGGCCGCCCACCGTCTCTGAGTGGTGCCCCCGCCTGGGAAGCACACAGCAGGCTCTCCTTCCCGAGGCCCCTCCGCCCAGCCTTGTCCCCAGGTCCCAATGACCACTGCTGACCCAGGGAGGAGTTCACAAGCTTCCCGGGGCATCTGCACCCCCGCTGGCCCCATGCATCCTGGAGTCCCGCTCTGCCACCGAGCAGGCATGTGGCTCCACCGCCAGGACTGCTGCATCTTGGGCCCTCGCCCACCTGCCCAGGCTGTGACTCCCAGAGGCTTCGTGTGTGGAGGCTGCGGCCCCTGACGAAGCCTGGAGAGGTAGGCAGGGGCTCAGGGGCCTGTCCGCCAGCAGGACTGGGGCCCAGGGTGAGTGGCCGGGCGGCCAGGAGGCCAGACCCAGGACGACCTCAGGGGCCAGGCGTGGAGATCCTTCCCGCAGGCAGGGGACCCGGACTGGGTGCAGGACGGGGGCCTCGGCTGCCGCGGGAGGTGACGGGGAGACAGGGGTGGGGCCAGGGGTCAGTGGCTGTGGCCGTGAAGGGGCTGGGGCCGGGGCGGGGCCCTTGCTGCACACCAGCAGCGGTGGGAGGAGGGGCCCGTCTGAAGGCCCTGTTCCCTTGGTGTCAGACCCGCAGGTGCGCGCGTGTCCAGAGCACAGGCAGATGGGAAAAGGAAGCGGTGGCTGCACACGGCCAGGTGAGGGCCTCATGGTGGGTGGCGCCCCCGCGGCCGGCAGTGACCCCGCAGGCCTGTTCCCCCCGCGGACGCCCTGGCCACATGTGAGAGGAGGCCTGTGCCCCCTGCTTGCCAGCGTCTGCTTACCCACGCTAGCGGGAGCGTCACCCTGGGGACAGCTGAGACCAGAGAGGAGCAGGAGGGTCAGAGCACAGTGATGGGGGGACATGCAGGTTGGGGGCCGGGCCAGGCAGGGATGCTCTGGGTGCTGCGGGGAATGGGGTGCTGGCTGGGTGTGGGGGAGACCCTGGAGCCAGAGCAGGAGGAGGGGAGGGGCCCCAAGGGAGGCAGGCAGCTTCGGGGGCCGTTGAGGGCCCAGAATGCCTGCCCTGGCCTGCAGCCCCCACTCTGCCTCCCCACCCAGCTCGGCGCTTGTGGGCCCTGCGCTTGAAGCAGCATCTTCCTCGCTTGGCTCTCTCCAGTCCAGGACCCGATGCCATCATCAGGGCTGGACACGTGGAGCTCTTTCCCCAGTGGGAGGTGAAGCACAGCGTGACCCGCGGAGGGGGCCACGGGGGTGCAGGGTCCTCTCCCTGGGTGACCGAAGCCGGCAGGGCACACACACAGCGACCTCGGGGGCTGCAGTAATATAGTGATTTATTGCTTCTTTAGCCACGTGAGTTACCGAGTTCAAAGGGAGGGGAAGAAACTGACGAAAATAGCGGCGCATCCGGGACCGTCTTCCTTCTCGGCTGGTCCCGCGGCCTCTCTCAAGCTCGGGCTCATTCCCTGCTGGCCGCCCGGGCCGCGAGAGGCGGGCTAGGCTTGCGTCTCTGAAGGCTGCGGGGGTGCCCCCTCCTCGGTCTTGCTGGGCTGCTCGCCGGGCAGACCCACGGCCTCTGACTGCTGGGACACCTGCACCATTGCCGCCTCCTCCTCAGGGCTTGGCTCGGCCCGGGGTTCGGGCTGCGCCTCTTCCCGGGGCTCCAGCTTGGTGGTGGACTTCTTGTCGGAGCTGGGCTCTGAGGCCCACGGGGGCTCGGCTGCCCGGGAGCTCTCGCCCTCCTTGTTGATGGCTGCGGAGGACAGGCCCCGGGCCTTGGGCTGCACCCAGCAGTGGCTGAGGATCTCGTCGATGTGCAGGCGCCGGGTGACGTCCGGCTGCAGCATCCGGTAGATGAGGTCCTTGCACTCGCCCGTCAGGTGCTTGGAGCGTGGGAAGTTGACGCGGTGCTCCTTCTGGATGCGCAGCATCTTCTTGACGTCGGAGTCGTCGTACGGCATGGAGCCGCAGACCATGATGTAGAGGATCACGCCCAGGCTCCAGATGTCGTACACCTTGGGCTGGTAGGGGATGCCCTGCAGCACCTCGGGGGCTGCGTACGCCGCCGACCCGCAGAAGGTCTTGCTCAGTGTCAGCCGGCCGCTGTCGTCCCGCAGGCAGCGCTTGGAGAAGCCGAAGTCGGACAGCTTGATGTTGAAGTCCTTGTCGAGGAGAAGGTTCTCGCACTTGAGGTCTCGGTGGACGACGTCCAGGTCGTGGCAGTACTTGACGGCCGAGGACAGCTGGTGGAACTTCTTGCGAGCGTCGTCTTCCTGCAGGGCCCCCCGGGTCTTGATGAACTCAAGGAGGTCACCCTGGACCCCAAGCTCCATGACGATGTAGACCTTGCCATCTGACGTCTCGAAGATCTCGTAGGTCTTGATGATGGAGCGGTGGTTTAGCATGGCCAGAATCTCAATTTCCCGGGGAAGGAATTTCTCCAGGAAGTCCGTGGGGGCTTTCTTGCGGTCGATGATCTTGACCGCCACGTTGAACTTGAGGCGCTCAGAGTAAGCGGATTTGACCTTGGCGTAGGAGCCCTCTCCCAAATTGATCCCCATGATGTAGCCTCGTCGCTTGAGGACGGCAGCGTCATCCATGGTGCCGGGAGCGCCCAGTGCCCCTGAGGCTGCCCTCTACATCCCTGCGGGACATGGGCCAGCGCGTCCTCATCTACACTGTGGACAGAGTCCTCTGGGCTGCCCGGGCCTCCCGTCCCTGCCTCCTAGAGGCCAAGACTCTGGGCTGGAACGTTCGGCACTGTCTCCCGGGCGACTTCAGTGCATGAAGTCATAGAGGAGGACTGCTCTGCGGAATGGGTCTCTGGCCTGAGCCACTCGAACTCAGAACCCTGCAGCAGATGGAGGGCCGAGGTAGGAGGGGGCCACGGGGACTGCATCGGCTCTCCCAAGCCTCCACACCTGAGCCAGGACTGCTGGGGGTGGGGGTGGGGGTGGGCGATGGGCTGATTTCCTGCACCCCAGGGCATCCCTGGAAACCCAGGGCAACGGTCCCAACCATCTAGGTCTCAGCAGCAAACAGGAGACACTCAAGTGAGGACTGCCTGCAAGGGTTTGACAAGAGGATGATTTCCCCACATGGAGCCGTGTCAAGAACCCTAAGTGGGTGATGGGCCCTCGGATGAAGGGACGGTTGTTTCTGGAACCCGGGGACAATGGTGCCGGGAGGGCCGCCTTGACCACGGCAGTGACCTAGGTGATCGCCCCCAGGGAAAGGACTGGGAAACCCTCCCTGACCTCCTCTTGCTCCATGCAGCCCTGGAAATACTCTGCAATGTCTGCACAGGCAGGCGTCTGAAAAGGTGGGTGGGGCAGGAAAGTCTGGCTAGATTTTTCACTCCCCCATGCTGCTCTCATCTGAACCTTCTCTGGCCAGCTCTGCTGGGGACAACTGACCGGGTCTCTGCCCTTGGCTGTGAGCCCCCTCCTGGGGGCCTGCCCTGCAGTAGCCCTGACTGGGCTCCCAGGGCAGGTCTGGGGGTGGGGGAGAAGGTGGGCCTGGACTCCTCTGAGAGCAGCAGCTGCTCCCAGAAATGCCCCCTGAGGACAGGCAAACAGGCGGTATTGAATGGGAACCACCCTTCCCGCCAGCAGTGGGTCCTCTCTGCTCTGGGCCTTGCTGTAGGGAAGGGTGGGGTGGCGTGGGAGGGCAGGAGCAGTCAGGCCCGGCAGAGCCTTGGGGTCGGTTTTGGCTAGATCCGTGCATCTGGAGCGGATGCCTCTCTCAGATGACCCTGAATGTCCCAGGCTGGGATCCTGGGGTGCTCAGGATGATCACCCCTGAGGGGCTTGGGGTGACTGCTTCTGGGGAGCGAGCTGCTGATGGTCTGGGTGCACCGCCCACCCCCGCCTCTGCCCTCATTTTCTCCACTCCCATCTTCTCCCTCTTCCCACCCTGACGCCCCGGGCTGGGCCTCGTGTGCGTGGCTGGTGGTCCGTCCTTCGGGGGGCTTGCTCCTCCCTCGCTGGTACTCCCCATCTGCTGGGTCCCCTCCCGCGGTGACAGGTGCGCGACCAACGCTTCCCTCCGTGCGGAAGAGCCTGCTGTGGCGGCAGCTGCGCCAGCGTCTCCCCTCTAGGGGATTGGGCGTCCCAGTCGGCTCTCCGCGCGGGACCCTCCTTGAGCCTGCTTGCACGTCCGTCTGCAGCACTCCAGTTGCCCGCGCCGCTGAAGCCGCACCTGCGGAAGCACCTCCCGGGACCTCCTCGGAGGTTCTCTAGGTCTCCTCTCCCCTCTCCGCAGCGGTTCGGCCTTTAAAGCGCCACTCTGGGACACGCTCTTCCAAGGGCCCTTCTCAGGGATTCCCAACTCCGCCCTCCACCCCCGGCTCCCTCGGCGCCGCGCTCCCCGCTCTGCTCCGGCCCCTCCGCGCCCGACCCCGCAGCTCCTGCTCCGCCCGGCCCTCGGGAGGCCCCGCCGCTCAGGCCCCGCCCCCGAGCCCCGCCCTTCAGTGATCAGCCAATGGAGCCCTTCCCGGCCCGACCCCTCGGCCCGGCCCGCGCGGCCGCCCCGGGGACGATGAACGGAGGATAAATGGTGCCCAAGGCGGACAGCGGCGCGTTCCTGCTGCTCTTCCTGTTGGTGCTCACGGTCACCGAGCCGCTGCGGCCAGGTGTGCGCCGGGGGGCGGCCGGGCCGGGGGCGCCCCGGGGACCCCACTCTGACGTGCCCTCCGCGGCCGGCGGGCTCGGGCCGGACGCCTGGAAGCCCCAGCCGCCCGGCGGGGGACCCTCAGACGCGTGAGGAGCCGCCGAGGCGGGCGTTCTCTGAGGGGAGCCCGGGTGGGGAGCTGGGATCCGGGCCGCAGAAGGTCCCGTACGAGCCTTGCCTCTTGTCCCGACGTGTGCACCCCCCACCCCCACCGTCCGCAAGAAATCAAGAGCCCGAACGCAGGGCCGATTCGCCCGTCACGCGCAGAAGGCCGGGGCCGCGGTGCCCTGGTGGCTTGCAGAGATGTTCTAAAATCAGCGGGAAGGAGCCCTTGAGTGTTCAGGTTGAAGGAGACGCTCTAACATGCACGTATAAATGCGTTCATTTTTATATCGATGCGGCGGCAGAGTGAGGTTCTTGACCCTGTCTAGTGGAGGAAGGGACCTGTGCAGGCAGAGGTGGCCAGGGCCCCTTGTGTGGGTGCTTTCAGGCTTGCGTGTCTCCAGCAGGTCGGGGAGCATGGCGGTGTTCAGGCCCCAGGTGGGCTCCCGGCCCCGGGCATGCAGCACCTCGCTGCCCTTCACCATCTGCTGTCGAGCGCCCCACGTCCTCCCCGGGGTCCCTTCAGCAGCCAGGGCCCTGGCCCACACTCAGCTGGAGGGGGATGCTTCTGGGGTGGCAGGGTGACTGGCCGCGGGGTGGTCTCAGTAGAAACTGAAGCCAGCATCCGTGCAGGAGGGTGCTATATGGGCTGTGAGGGACTAGAACTGACGGGTTTGTGCCTGCTTGTTATTACGTTCTTCAGAAAACATGTCTACACCTGTGGGGAGGTGCGAGTCATCCCGTCCATCCTGGGTCCTCTGTTATGTCGCTGGACTCTGAGGGGCGGAGCCACACCACGCTTGTGTCCTCGGGGGGCCTCTGGGTCCACCGAGGGATGTGACCGGGGTCCCCAACTCCCTTTCTTTTGCCTTCTGTCCACACATCCTGCCAGCCGGCCAGCAGCAGTTCAAAATGCATCTTGGCCTGCCCATCGTTAGGGATGCTCACGTGGAGACAAGGTGCCCTCCTCGTGGGTGTGCTCTTCAGCTGAAAGCAAGGGCTGGGAAATAGGTCCCCCGGCTGAAGCGGTGGCCCACAGCAGGCCTCAGTTGGGGCAGGAAGGCGACTGGGTGGGGCGCAAAGCTGTCCGTTGCGCCCGTGGCTGCCCAGGTCAGACCTGCACAGTAACCCCTGCGGGCGTCTGGAGTTGCCCTGAGGAGCCTGGGGGCTCCAGCTGACTCCCTGACTCTGGCTCGGCAGTGCGTGGAGTCTCCCCCAGGGCCTGTATGCGCTCTGTCCTGCCAGGCCAGGGTCTGCGGGCTGGCACCTGGGAGGGACTTTGCTAGTCTTAGCCTGCCCGCTTTTTCTTGGGAGTCCTGGCTCAGACCCCCTACTGGGGAGTGAGGAGTGAAAAATAGGCACGCCCACTTCCCTGGAGGGCCCCTGCCAGGTGGAGCGCCCGTGGCCCCTCAGGACGCAGGCTGGCCTTTGACAGAGTGGGCTCCAGGAGAGCGCCCAGCCAGGCCTTTGGGCAGCGTGTGTGGTCTTGGTGGTTGAGGACGCGCTGGGTACAGGGGCCCAGGGGGTCCCTGTGGGGTAAGTCCTGCTGCTAGCTCCGTCTTACAGAGGGGTCCACAGAACAGAGCTGGAGACCCCAGCAGCTCTGGGGAGGGTTTGGTCCCGAGGCCGGCTTCTCCCCGGCCTCTCTCCCCAGCAGCCCTGCTGCCCCTCCCCTCGGGCCCCCTGCTCCCAGAGTTACCCGAGGCTCTCCTGGTGGGTCTGCGGCCCGTCACCCATCCGAGCGCCCTGATCTGAAGGCCAGAGGTGCCCTTCCCTTGGGACCCCACTGTGACGGGGCATCACAAGTGATGGCTGGAAAGGCAAGAAGGCCGGGACCTCTGCCTGGGGGCGACGGAGCTGGAGGGACCTTTGGGGGCCTCTGGCTTGGACACCCCAGTGACTCGGCTCCGCCTGCAGGCGGTTCTCCAGGAGTGCGGCTTCAGGCGCGCTGGGAAAACTGTTTCTCGTCTCAGTTTTGTCTGGGCAACCCCTCTGCCACCCCCACTCGCCCTGCTGGGTGAGCTGAGGCGCACGGGCGCTGTCCTGCTGGGAGAGGCCAGCAATGGGCCTGAGGCCGCAGCGGGGAGCCGCGGGGCTGGGTTTGGGCCCAGGAAGAGGCTGCCTGCTGGTTCAGATCCTTTTCCGCGTGCTGCTGGGGACCCGACACGTCGTCAGCGAGCTGCAGACCTGCGATGGGGACCAGGGAGTGGGCGGATGTGGCCTGAGCCCGCGGCTCACAGATGCGGCTGGACGCCGTGGGGTCTGCCCTGGGCTGGCCAGGCGCCCCCGCCCCAGCTAGGAGCCCGCGCTCAGTCCTGACCCACACCACGCGGAGCTGGTCCTGCGGGCCTCTGGAGCCCTGGGCTGGCCACTTGATTTCTAACTCGGACGGTAGCGTAGTGCCCTTTCCCACCACACTAGCTTTGTTTTTTTTAGTAAAGAAGCTTTCAAAAAAAAAAAGAAGAAGCTTTCGTTTGGGGATAATTTCAAACTTACTGAAGAGTTACAGGGAGAAAGTGAACTCAAGAGCCGGGGCCCCATCTGCCCAGACCTCGTCTGCCTACCCTCCCCCTCATGCACCTGTGTGTGTGCACACGTGCATTTGTGTGTTCGTGAGTGCTGACGCAGGCACGCACGATTCTTGGGGGACGAGGGGCAGGCGTCGTGGCCTGCTCTACGAGGGGGCATCCTGTGAGGACGCGGTTGGCCGTGGGCCATGGGCAGGGGTCAGGGCAGGGTCCGTCTGGTGACTCGGCTCGGGGGTGGAGCCCGCGCGGCTGCTGTTCCTGGGCACGTGTGTGCGCCGCTCTGCAGCTCCTCTCACCCAGGGTGCTGTGGGCACAGCCCGCCTCCCTGGTCCTCCCACTCCTGGCCCCGGGAGCCCCCGTGCCGACAGGATGCCCTTTGCTGGTGCCCAGCGTTTCCTCCGGCTGCTGCGGGGCTGCCCCTCCCACCCCCCGTGCTGTGCGGGGAGTCGGTTCAGAGGCGGCCCCCCACCAGGCTGTCGAGCCAACTTCGAACCAGTTGGGTGTTTGCAGGGCAATGGGTAGCCTTGCAGGCGGTTGTCACCCAAGACCGCATCTTGGTTTCCTACATGGCTCGTGGCCAGCTTGGGCTGTTCTGTGGAAGCAGGGCCTCGACAGGAGAGGGGCCCTGAGGTCAGGGCCTGCTTGCCAGGTCCAGGCAAGTGCGGGCCAGTGGCTGGAGAGCGTGGAGCCCTGCGTGGAGCTGCCCGCTCACTGTCCTCGGCTTTCTCCTGTAACCCAGATGTGGTTCTTCGGGACACAGGCTTGGTGTGACTTGGGCTCTGGTTCTGAGAACTGTCTGACGTGGGACAGACGCTCCCTAAGGGCCGTGAGTGTCACCCGCGCACTGAGAGGTCGGTGCACAAGGGCGCGTTTCTCGGGAGAACCCCCCACTCCAGGCAGCGAGCTCCGTGGCTTGAGCCTTGCGGACGCCTCGTGTGTGCTCAGTGAGTCCAGCTGTGGCTGGAGGGGGGGTGCTGGCCGGGTGTCCCGGCCACCCCGCGCCATGGACAGGGCCAGGATTGTTCCTGCGGGCGCACTTCGCACTGAGGCACGTTTGAGCTGGAGCTTCAGCCTGGTCTGGCCCGGAGCGGGCGCTCAGAAATCGGTGATGGAGACGACGCACAAATGGCTCCTTCTGTTTGACATAAAGAGCGGCGGCTCCCACGGGCCTCGCAGCTGCCCAGTGGGGGCGGCAGGGACCCAGCCAGCTGGCCTGGGGCTCAGGCCGGGGGGTCATTCCCAGGGGCGAGAGCTGCCCTGAGAGGCGAGGGTGGGCAAGGCTGCTCACCGCTGATGTCTCACCAGGGTCCCCGGCCGCGCGGGGGGTGAGTGGCCCCTCCACTGGCCCCGTCTCCTGCCCTTTGCATCTCTGTCTGGCGTGGCCGTCCCCCCAGCCCCTTTCCTGTCCTTCTCTGTAGGCTGGCTGCTGGGCGCCTGGCAGCTCGCTGGCTGTCCGTCCTCAACTGTGGACAGCTCTGTGCCGGAGAGGGTGGGTCTGAGAGCAGAGCCCTGTGTGAATGCTGGATGAGGGTCTCCGCGTCCACCCTGAGCCCCACCCTGCTGCAGGCCGCCTTCCTCCCCGGGCACCCTGCTCAAGAGCTGGGTGCTGTGGGGAGCGCCTGGGACTCCCAGGGCGCTGGGCAGGGGCCCGCTGGCGCGTCAGCGGGAGACGCAAG